GGCGGCAGCGGCCGCCAGGGGAAGCCGCCGGCCTCAAGCTGGCGGCCAGGCGTCAAGACAAGCGAGCGCGTTGGCCTCCTCAACCAGGTCACGGGCTCGCTGAGCGCCTTCGCCTGTCAGACGGCGCTCACCGCGCAGCGGCAGTCCAGACCCCTCGCGCCATCCGCCCAGTGCGCGACGGGCGAGGCGCAGGACATGGCGGAAAGAGCGTTAGGGAGGTCTACGCTACTCGGAGCCATCGCGCGGGCGCCATGCAGGTGTTCGGAGGCGACGGCGGCATTGCCGAGGCGGCGCTGGGCGGCAACATGACAGCGGCGGAAGTGAACGACCACGAGCGCGGCTGGGACCTCTGCGCTCCGAAGGACCTCGAGACGGCGAACGACTTGTTCTACTCATCGAAGCCGAGGTTCGCGTCGATCAAGCTGCCCTGCACCTGCAGCGCGAACATCGCGCACCTCCGCTTCCGCGCGCCGAAGGGCAAGCAAGCGCTACCGCGACGCTGGCGGGCAGAACGGACATTCATCCTTCAGGCCCGCGACCTTTTCCAATGTCGGCTCGACTTTGGCGACGCGGCCATGATCGAGACCCCGGCCACTGGCCGGATCTGGGCGCAGCACGTGCTGCGGCAGCTATTGGTCGGTGAGCGCGCGTGCCCGGTGAGGCGCGACGCGTGCGAGCATGGGGCTCGACGCGACAAGACGGGGGGGCCCATCGAGCAACCCCGCCACGCTGCTGGTCACCCACGAGGAGTTCTAGCAGATGCGACGCGCCCGCAGTCGCAGGCGCCGAGACGCCCAGACGTTCGGCGACAACGCGGCGGCGCGCCAGTCTGGCATTACCCTGCCGAGTTCTAGCAGGCGGCGGTGCCCATCGTCGAGCAGATTATGCGCCGGCAACGTGGGCATCGCGCCTGCGAGGTGGACTGCGGCCTTCTCTCGTCGCCCTTCACCGTGGCGAAGTCGAAGGGTGGGGCCGCCGCCTACGTGAACGATAGCGCGCCCCTGGGAGAGACGGGCGAGCCCATTGGGGATCCAGACGCCGCGGGCGGCGGAGATGACTCCGCTCGCGCGCGCGACGTGCGGGCCGAGACTGTGGGCGGCAGGGTCGGGGTCTGCGCGATTGCCATCACAATGAAAGCAGCGGCCTGCTGCGAGCCAGCCGAGCTGGCCACGCCAAAGAGACTGCGCGTCAACTTGGGCCATCCGTCCAACGAAGACCTGGGTCGCAGCCCGCGACTCAAGGGCGCCGAGTCAGCCACCGCCCAGGCCGTCAAGCACCTAATCTGCGGGGCGTGCCGCTCGCAGCAGCGCCCGAGCGCAGGGGGGCCGGCGCGCCCCCACTTCGCGTGAGATTTCGGCGACGACGCGGGCTTCGACTGCTTCGAGCTCTCAAAGACCAGGCTATGCGTTGGAGGTCACATGGGCCCGCGCCTGGCCCAGGGCGACTTGCGCGCGGACGCGCCCGCGGTCGCCCGCAACTCGACCATGCTGTTCTTCAGCCTGTGCCAGAGATGCTCGATCTGGGGATCCACGCGGCGAAAGTGGAGGCGGCCGTCATGCAAGGCGACGAGCAGCCCGACCGGCAACTGTTCATGGCGCAGCCCCGCGGTGGCCCACCTGGACCGCCCCCGAAGCAGAGGATCAATATCCTGAAGGACGTTTTCGGGTTAGCCACGGCGCCAAGGCGAAGCTGAAGCAGCTGAAGAGAACACTACCCGCGGTGGAGGAAAATGCCGGCAACAACTTCGTGTTCCGCCTGCGCCGGCATTCGCTGGACCCAGCGCTGTACTGCGGCTAGTGCGGTAGTGGTCGCTCGCGTGGGCGATCTGCTGCTGGGCATCTCGCCCAACTGCCCGACCCTGGAAGACAAGATCCACAAACTACTGCCGTGGGGCGACTGGAGAGACCGTTCACATTCTGCGGTAAGCAGGCGCGGCGCGACGACGAGGGCGTTCTACATCTACGACAGTCCGAGTGCGCGAACACCGTCGAGGAGATCGCGGTCAGCAAGGAACGCAAGACGGAGCTGTCGAAGGATGCGACGGCGGCCAAGTTTTCAATCAACTGCTCCGCTCTCGGAGCGCTGGGATGGCTCTCATCGCAGGCTCGACCAGATCTAGCCACCGGAATGGCCATGGGGCAACGCACGCAGAACAAGCCCACCGTACAGGACTTGCTCGAGACGAATCGGCTCATCAAGCTGGCGCGGAAGCATGCGGACGTCGGACTGGAGTCCCCGGAGTAACGTGGACCGCTCTGCCCGGTCACTTACCACGACGCCAGCTGGGCCAACGCGGACGAGCCGACTGAGGGTGCCTTATCCAAGCTACTCTCCAACCTAGTCGGATAAAGCAGCAAAAACGGATATCAAGATCCGCTCGCAGGCCAGCTACGTGACATTCCTCGCGGAAGCTACATTGTTACGCTGAGATCGAGCTCGAGCAGGAATCGTAGATTGGAGATCGGGCACCATCAAGCGAGTCCGCAGGTCTACTCTGTCAGCTGAGAGGATGTCAGCGGTGGGCGCTCTTGGCTGTGTTCAGATCACACGCTGTGTTTTCGCTTCGCTGGGGATACCGGATGCCCATCCAGAGGACATCCCGCCGAGTTTGCTGCCGCTTGCTCAATTCACAGATTGCGATAGCCTGTACGATACGATGCACAACGACGGTTATTCCAAGCTGCCGTCAGGGCGGCGCCTTCTGCTAGACCTAGTAGGCCTCAAGGAGTCCCTCGAGGAAGAGGTCAGCAACGAATTCGCTGCCGACGATCAGCGCAGCCAGCTGCCTCTTTTTCGGGCTCCTACGGGCCAGCAGCTCGGTGATCAGTTCGCCAAGCGATAGGACGGCAGTGCCATCAAGGCAGTGCTGCGAGACACCCGTCTCGCATTGCAACATCAGAGACCGACCGACCAGGCCAGAGAGCACGAAGCACACGTCAACAGCGCCAGCTCGCTCTTCAAGCACGCCATGCGCCTGGTTGCATCTTAGTTCGTTAGCGTGCGATATACACGTCTAGATAATATAAGGTGGCAGGTGCATAGATCCGAAGAATTCTGCACGAGTGTGAAATAAATAGTGTCAGCGCTGATATGTAAGCAATGCTGACCTTTGCCGTGCTCATTTGGGCTGTTCTGCTAAGCGACCATCTATCGCCATGCATTGCGGACAACATTCGCATCACAGCTGATATACCACCTCGCGGCGATAATTGGAACACGACCCCTCTGCGCAGTATTGGGTCTACACCCTCCTCCGCCTCCTCCTCTTCTCCTCCACTTCCTCCTCCTCACCCTCCTCCTCCTACCCTCCTCCTCCTCCTCCTCCTCCTCCTCCTCCTTCTCCTCCTCCGTTTCCTCCTCCTCCCCACCCCGCTCCTCCCCCGAGGGCCGCGGGCCTTCTTCGCCTCCAGCTCCCTCTTCTGGACGAGGAGCTGCTCGATGCGCTGCGTGGCCATCTGGACCCCCTTCTCCGCCTCCTCCTTGAGGAGGATAGGCACAGGGGGGGGGGAGGGACATCGACCTGGAGTCGGCGATGCATCGCGGATAGATCGGCGATAGGCCCCTATCGGGCCCCTATCGGCGATTACTGGGCCAGGCGGGGTCGATGTGTCCCCCCCTATGCGTGTTCCCCACCCCATCGTCGCCCCTGACTCCTGCATCTTCACCGTCTGAGCGCCGCAGTTCCCGAGCTCCTGTCGCAGGAAGGCCACGACCAACGCATTGCGGGCCATCCGCGCTCTACAATTACTCAATATGAATATATTTTCCCTCTTCCCCTCATGGCGTCCGGGTGATAGCCACGCACCCTCCGCGCACTGCTTTTTACACACAGGATGCCCGGGAAATCCCGGGAAACGACTCTCGCTGAGGCGCCGGCGTCATTTTTTCCCAAAATGCTGCTCTCGCGCCGGCGTCATTTTTTCCCAAAATGCTGCTCTTGTTGAAGCGCCGGCCTCATTTCTGCTCCCGAATCCTTCCCCTGATGGCGTCCGGGTGATAGCCGCGCATCCTCCGCGTACTGTTTTTTACACAGGATGCCCGGGAAATCCCGAGAAACGACTCTCGCTGAGGCGCCGGCGTCATTTTTTCCCAAAATGCTGCTCTCGTTGAGGCGCCGGCTTCATTTCTGCTCCCGAATCGTTCCGAATCGTGCTCCCGCTGCAGCGTAGGCCTCATTTTCGGATCGGTGTTTGGCCTCCGTCGTTCAGGATGGCGTTCTCGCCCCAGCGCGGGCCTTTTTCTCGCGCGCCCATCCGCCCGCCACCACCGCGCCGCACCGCCACCACCACCACCACCACCACCACAACCACCA